GAAAAACAAATTAAAACTGGAAAATGGATTTAAATTGATTTAAAATTTGATTTGGGTCAATTTTTGTAGCAGGGATTTACGATCAATTTAAATCGATTTTAAATCGATCCAAATCAATCTTATTTTTTTCCCATTTTTAATCTTCGTATTTTTTCATACTAAAATCGATCTAGTTTTATTCAATATACCATTTTCATACTAAAATTGATCCCAAGCCATTTTTGTCAGTGCGGGTAGCGCTTTTCTGGCAAAAAATTTTTAGAAAATATTCTAAACTTTTAGTGCAAAAAATTGACAAAAAAAAAATTTAAACAATTTTTTTTTGATTTTTTTTTCTTTTTTTTTGGCTTGTTTATTTTTTTGAAAGCAAGTAATGAAAACCCCTTCCCCCTTCTCTCCCATAGTAGTTTTTGTAATTTTGTGGCATTATTTTTATAGTGGGGAGAAGCGCAATACTGGCAAATAAAAAATGAAAAATGTCACCTCTTTTCGTCTGGAAAAGTAACAATAAGAAATATTTCTATATGAGATAAACGTCTTGACAGATTGGACGGACCAGATGAAATAAACCTCCAGAAATTTGTCGGGTGTGTCGGCCAAAAAAGGATTTCTCAAATTTTTACCAAAATGGGGAACCTATGGGTGGTCGGTCATTGGGTCGAATACCGAGGCAGAGGGTTGTCCATCATCCCACGCCCCCTCCATAAATCCACCCGTGATAGAGGGGAAAAGCCATCCGTCCGCCCTTATATTTCGCTAATCACTCGACCATGCTTGAGCAAAGGTTTTTTTCAGATTGCTTATGATAACATATGAATCGAGTGAGACTCATCGTTCGGCGCATTGATTCGAACCGTTAGAGAACTTGGATCTACTTAACTATCGACACCCCTATAGTATCTACTAAAGAACCACTACCACCTATAAAAAGCTGTAATTTATCACAAGAGTGTTATATTTAAACTTCAAATTTTGGTCTAATGTTGCATTCTAATTGGTCAAAAATTCGACTAATTTAATCGACTTTTAAAAAGAAATGGGGGGTAACTGTTAAGTAGAAACGGAATGGGGGGTAATTAAGTAGATCGGAGAATTTTTTAACTTTTTCACCATGTGTTGTCGACTATGGAGAAATATACTTTGAAAATTCTTTTGCAGTGGGCGGAATTTACGAATCTGCTTTAATGCAAATTTTAATCGAATTTTCAATGGTTGATGCAAAACGCCCAGTTGTATAATCATTAATGACACTTTTTAATTTTTCTCTTTTCTAGGTGAATAATGAAAAAAAACTAGACAGCGAAGAAAAAATTCATCGGCATAAATTGTAGCAAGTGAGCTTCAGCAAAGCAAATGGAATTGACTTTCAAGATGTTTTTAAAAGTAGATCATCATTTTTATAAGTAACAACATTGTTTTTTAATGAACAGAAAGCAGGGGATAAGTTTTTATCCACTTGGGCAGCTCAGTCTTGGTCAAGATTTTGACAATAGGTTGAAATAATTGGGTTTATAAAAAAACACGGGTTCCCCAGCCGATATAAGGGTATTATTTTCCTATCACGTGGTTTAAATAATGAGGTTTTCCTTACATTTACTCACAAGGTACATTTTACGAACTTAAATGGATCTTATATCGATTTAAGTCGATCTTTTTGAAAGTTTTAGATCGATTAAAGTGTCTAAAAAATTGATTTAAATCGATTTGGATGGGTTTTTTGACCCACTAAAATGCATCCAAAACTCACTTAAATCCATTTTAAATCGAATTTAATCGATATTTTTTGAAAACTTTGGATTGATTGTGTCTTAAAAATTGATTTAAATCGATTTGGATGGATTTTCAGACTCACTAAACACGGCTAAAAAAATTTGCCAACAAGGCAAAAAAGACTCTTCAGAAAAAAAATTAAATTATTTTTTTTATAAAAAAAAACAGTTATTATAGAATTTTAAAAAATTGATGAACATAAATCAGATTTTACGCTCAAAAGTTTGAAATCATAAAAAGTTTTTGTAAATCAGATATTTGTGTAACAAACAGGAAAAGGGTCAAAATAAAATAAATTTTGATCTCAATAAATTGCAATTAAATCAAAGAAAATCATGAATGTAATTCAGATTTTGAGCAAAAACGAATCATGAAACGAATCATGAAAAGGGTCAATATAGATCAGTTTTGAACTCAAAATATGCGAGGAAATCATAGAACTTTATCGAAATTGTGGTTTTTTCATATGGTCTTTTTATGCTACAATACGCTATGAATGTAAAACGAAAAATGATAGGCAATGAATAAATGCAATAGAAATTTGAAACTGATTAAACTCGAATGAAAAAAATCGATTTAAATCCTTTTTAATCCCCTTAAAAAGAAAAACAAATTAAAACTGGAAAATGGATTTAAATTGATTTAAAATTTGATTTGGGTCAATTTTTGTAGCAGGGATTTACGATCAATTTAAATCGATTTTAAATCGATCCAAATCAATCTTATTTTTTCCCATTTTTAATCTTCGTATTTTTTCATACTAAAATCGATCTAGTTTTATTCAATATACCATTTTCTTACTAAAATTGATCCCAAGCCATTTTTGTCAGTGCGGGTAGCGCTTTTCTGGCAAAAAATTTTTAGAAAATATTCTAAACTTTTAGTGCAAAAAATTGACAAAAAAAAATTTAAACAATTTTTTTTTTGATTTTTTTTCTTTTTTTTGGCTTGTTTATTTTTTTGAAAGCAAGTAATGAAAACCCCTTCCCCCTTCTCTCCCATAGTAGTTTTTGTAATTTTGTGGCGTTATTTTTATAGTGGGGAGAAGCGCAATACTGGCAAATAAAAAATGAAAAATGTCACCTCTTTTCGTCTGGAAAAGTAACAATAAGAAATATTTCTAAATGAGATAAACGTCTTGACAGATTGGACGGACCAGATGAAATAAACCTCCAGAAATTTGTCGGGTGTGTCGGCCAAAAAAGGATTTCTCAAATTTTTACCAAAATGGGGAACCTATGGGTGGTCGGTCATTGGGTCGAATACCGAGGCAGAGGGTTGTCCATCATCCCACGCCCCCTCCATAAATCCACCCGTGATAGAGGGGAAAAGCCATCCGTCCGCCCTTATATTTCGCTAATCACTCGACCATGCTTGAGCAAAGGTTTTTTTCAGATTGCTTATGATAACATATGAATCGAGTGAGACTCATCGTTCGGCGCATTGATTCGAACCGTTAGAGAACTTGGATCTACTTAACTATCGACACCCCTATAGTATCTACTAAAGAACCACTACCACCTATAAAAAGCTGTAATTTATCACAAGAGTGTTATATTTAAACTTCAAATTTTGGTCTAATGTTGCATTCTAATTGGTCAAAAATTCGACTAATTTAATCGACTTTTAAAAAGAAATGGGGGGTAACTGTTAAGTAGAAACGGAATGGGGGGTAATTAAGTAGATCGGAGAATGTTTTAACTTTTTCACCATGTGTTGTCGACTATGGAGAAATATACTTTGAAAATTCTTTTGCAGTGGGCGGAATTTACGAATCTGCTTTAATGCAAATTTTAATCGAATTTTCAATGGTTGATGCAAAACGCCCAGTTGTATAATCATTAATGACACTTTTTAATTTTTCTCTTTTCTAGGTGAATAATGAAAAAAACTAGACAGCGAAGAAAAAATTCATCGGCATAAATTGTAGCAAGTGAGCTTCAGCAAAGCAAATGGAATTGACTTTCAAGATGTTTTTAAAAGTAGATCATCATTTTTATAAGTAACAACATTGTTTTTTAATGAACAGAAAGCAGGGGATAAGTTTTTATCCACTTGGGCAGCTCAGTCTTGGTCAAGATTTTGACAATAGGTTGAAATAATTGGGTTTATAAAAAAACACGGGTTCCCCAGCCGATATAAGGGTATTATTTTCCTATCACGTGGTTTAAATAATGAGGTTTTCCTTACATTTACTTTATCATTATTGCACTCCATCTTCGCCTAATTTGACGTTTTAGGTCATAGCATATTTCAAGTATCAACATTGTATTCATTCCATTAAACCTAATGAAATTTGAGTTTTGAGCAGAAATTTCAGTCCATTAATACCAAGTCGCTTTTTCGTATAAACCAATTATTTCCAGAGTTCTTTTAAAATCCGTCAACACGGCGAACACTTAAGGAAAAAGAGCAGAAAATATATAGTGTTTATGTCGTATGTTGTTGCAATTTCGAATTTCCTTTTTGTAAATTGAGACGGAGATTCTTATAGTTTTCGCATATGTGCAGTTCGTCCATTCATGAAGTTTACCCATCAGTAATTACCTTCTTCTATGCACCCGCCCGGGACGCCTAGCTACCCCAACACACACGTCCCCAAAGCCCCCCGGCTGCGAAACAAAAAGAAAGCCATACGTCGGACATTTTCATTTATCAACTTTAATTAACCCCGAGTTTTTCTGTAATTTCAACATTCTCAAATCACCCGTGACGAGTATTCCATTCATTTCCAAACTGACAGAGTTAATTGACCTCCCCCCACCCCCCTAAGTCCACTTTGCATTTGCATTCGCAACGGAAAAGCTACAAAAAAACTGTGGGTTGAGTTTTTTTTCATAAACTAACCATCCGTATATTTCCGTTCTGTTTCTAACCCAATTATAACTCTTTCTCAATCAGCGTCGAGTTTCACCTTACCAACTAAACTTACCAGCGACAAACAAGACCGCAGTTTCCTCTTGCAAAATTAGACTCAATATAGAATTACAGAAATACAGCTTCCTTATCGCTTCCGCTTTACCAAATTGTGGAAAAAGACAGAAATTTATGCAAGATAAAGGGTTGTTAATAAACTGATTAAAGTGTTATTTTGTTCTTAATTTAGCTTACAACTACTAGTGTGTTGCCTCTCCAAATCCAATTTGTTTCTAAAATTCAGGTCCATATTCATTTCTAATTTGATATAGTATTTTTTTGGTTTCTTTTGACCTAAATTGTTTATCATTTCAAGTGATCCTGTCAGAACTGGTTAATAACAAATTATAACTATTTGCAGGCGCGGATCTAGGAATTTTGGCGCGCGCTACCCCCTCAAAATTAGTATATATTGGCGCCGAAGGCGCCTTTAATTTTTAAGGTCAGTCATCCAAAAGTGGATATCTTTAAATAGTACATCCTTTGGGTCGGCAGGGGGTCGAATCCCTGAGAGGGGGTGGGAGGGGGGGGGGGGGGGCGTTTGCTACTGATTATTTCAGTCGTGATCATTGATAAATAGTGACCACCTTTAATAGAGAGAGGAAAACTTCAGAAGTTGACAAGACACCGAAGACATTTCCTATACAAAAGTCGACAAGGCTTTACAAGCTACAACATGGATGTTGACCCGGAAGACACGGTGCCCGCAGGACGACCCCGGAGGAGAGGTGCAGTGACAGTGGGGGGAGGGGACGAGGAAGGGGAGGGAGGTGGGGGCAACAGGAGGAGAATGTCCCGCCGCATGTCCACAAATATAAAGAGCATCTGGTCCAAAATGGCCACAAGTGGGTCACACAGAGCAAGTGAGTTCCAACTTTATTTTCGTGAGCGGAGGGGGGAGGGTACCTCCTAAATTATTATTAGAAGGAAAAAGGAGCTGTTAAAAGATATAAGTTAAGGAATAATTTTCATTCTAGCTCTTACCCGTCTCAAAATTGTAGGTCCCCAAACTCATCTTAACTTATTGCTCCAATTCCCAGCACACTTAAATTTTTGACAAAAACCTTTTTACGTCGAAGTGAATGTGAAAATGAATTTTGAGCTATAATGATTGATGTTCCTCAAAGAATCGACCGAGATTCCACGTAAGAATTAGGATAGCTGGCTCTTTTCCAATTTCCACCCTCTGAATTTTCCGAATTTAGATTGCAAAAAGCTCTTTTTCTAAAATGCAACAAAACGAGTAAGCGCGAACAATTGAACCTATTCTTACACAATTTCTTTAATTCAGGTTGAACTAGTTTTAATTTCTTTTAAATTGCAGTTTCACGAAGGGTTTGGAAATTGGAAATAAGCCGGATAGCTCACTTTCTATCTCTATAGTAGATTCTTCTTGTAGTCTCTACCATTGCAACCGAAACAGATTTTATAGAGCTTTTTTCAAAAAAATGTATCTTTGATTGAAGGTGGTCGTTTTGGTGTAAATGCTTATTTAATCAACGTGTAGAACAAAAACCAGTGATATCAAAAAAATATTTGTGCGGTACAATTATCAAACTCAGTGAATGGATTTTGTGTAATCCCGCATACAGATTCAAGCGTTTATAATCAACTATATATTTTGATTTTAGTACCAGCCTCACAAGAATTGAGAAAAATCTATTACCATCAATTAATAATGGACCATAATCTCTCTCTTTCAAAACAAATCAAAGTCAATTATAATACACTTTAATCAATTATAATCAATAATTAGCTATCTGTTTTTCGGTTCAATTATAATTGATTATGATGGATTATTCTTTATCCCAAAATCTGTTTTTTTTATTCTGCACAAAACACTAATCATATTTGATTTTAATTGGTTATAATCGATCATAATCCTTTTTGTTTACCCAATTTGTTTTCGACCCTGCAAATGAATTGCTTGTTTTTTAAAATTTTTTCATAGGCATTGGTTTATGTGAAAAACGTGAAAATCTTTCCAGCAGATTTTATATCAATTCAACTTTATAATGTTTTTTTTCTTTACTTTCTGGATTAGATTTGTTTCGTGATGCTCATTTATAGTTTTCTGACCGCAAAATATGAGCACACTGTTTTAGTTTTATGATTTATTTAGTTAATTTTTAATTTTTAATGAGTTAATTTTTACATACCGCTGAAACTTTCAACTAATTTGAAAAGTTCTCTATGAATTTTTTGTTTCGCGGTAAAACTTTGTTTTCAGACAATTTTAACAGAAAATTAATAACCAATAGGATATAATTTTTTTTTGGTGTGACAAACTTTTTGTAAAATGAGAGATTTTTATCAATTCTAACCGATTATAATCAATTAGTATCGATTACAATTGCTTTAAAAAGCTTTTCCGTATAAACTGTAGTCAATTATATTATAATTAATTATAAACAGTATAATCTTTTGGAAAGGTCACAATTATAATCGATTAAACATTTTTTCAACGCCCAATTTTGGTAATTATCAATTTCTATTGTCAAAAAATCAACTTTGTAATCCTTCCTGATCGATTACTTAAGCGTGAACTTGGATGCGGGATGCGGGCTCAAATTACCTAGGAAGTTTTAAGAAATTGACACGTTTTTTGAAATTTTTTGTCTGTTACAGCACAAAAATGACTTTACATTGCTTGTCTAGCGCATTTTTTTTTGCAAAAAGTGGCCCAAGTAGCCAATTGTGGATCAGTTTTTTTTTATCAATTGCAGTAATTGTGTGTTTTTTTTCTGACCACTTCACGAGGTGGGAGCGATTTATGGCGTAGATTGTGTTTTTTTCCTACCGTGATTTTGACTATGTCAAACAAGTGTATAATATCAAGTGTTATATCATAACACAACCTTTTCAGCATTACTTTGGAATTAAAAAAATTCAAAAAATTTTGCTTCGAGAAAAAATTGATCTGTTTTTTACTGCTTTCCTTTTTTCAGAATAACTGAGGAGAGGTTGATCTCTAAATTAATTATTCTTGCCGTTTGTATTAAGTAATTAAAAACCTTCATTTTGCTATTGTTGTCCTGAAGTTTAAAAAAATTGGCCAGATCGAAAAAAAATTAATAAAATGTTTTCGTGTTTTTTAATTTTTTCCTGAATGCTACATATTTTGTGATTTTTTTTGTATTTCAATACAACGGCTAAGCGGCAAACTATTTCTCACTTGCACAACAAACTGGCTTTCATTGTTCTTGTTTACAATCAGCGCATGAATTCGCAATAATTTAAATGTGTTTTTTCAAAATATATGATGCCTGAAAAAATTAGGATAATTTTTAAAGTGCCCTCAAATCAAATTGTGACAAAAACGAGAAACCTATGCATCAGCTTGTGTGTCAATTAGTATGACCATGCAAAAGGATGCATTTTATTTTTCCTCTCAAGAAATTATTTAAAGCTTTTATTGCATGCTAATAGACGCACAAGATTATCTCTGCACTCCCATAGAAAAGCTAAATTTTGGAATTTTTGAATTTTACCCAAAACACAGCGCAATGCGGTTTATTTTGCTATTGATCGTTAACCATCATACTACGCTTTGGTGCGTCGATACTAATTGAAAAATTTGAATTAGTTGTTTCGAAGAAAGCGAGGAATATATAGGCTCGGACGGTTTGCTTTTTATTCAGGCCAATTTATAAAAGAACTTTTATCTCGGGGAATCAATATCTTGATCTTCGTGTTCGCTGATGGGTCCCATTCATAATTTTAAATACCTGACTATGTGTTTGCTATGAAACGAGTCTTACTAAACTGCTAGTTTTAGACTTTGATACTGATAATGTAACGCAAATCAAATATTATTCCTCCCCACAAAATCATTCCAAATTGAACTGAGGCAAGTTAATTTTTCTCGTTCATTCCTCAAATGACTCAAATCTAACGCTTGTAGTTAAATTCGTAGCCTAAAATGCATAGTTTGTCGATATTTCATGACTTAAAAATAATTCGAGACCAGTTTTTGGGCATACGGATCATTCAGGGTTTTGCCCTGATACGAGAAGTCTTGTTCCTGATACAGTATCTCTTTTTTCTCTCGCTCTCTCTCAGACTACACAAGCACATTCCAAAATTCCCCATTCCATTTAAAATACACCGAATCAATTGAAAATTTTGAAATATCCGATTTGAATAAATTAACCCTATCGGTTAATCAAAAAAAATATTTTCGAAAATTTTCGTCAAATTTAGAAGATGGTGTACAATTTTTCTTATCAGTTGTGAAAATCAACTTGAATTTTAACCAATGATTTAACTAAAGTAGAAATAGGCGTTTCTAGCTGACTAATTAAGACACATATGCATACTAGTTTCATGACAATTGAAAAATCTTAAAATGTGATAAAAAAATGCGGTTGGGAAAGGGGCTGAGAAAAAGAAGAAAGGAAATTGAACATCTAGTTGAAAAAAGTGAACTGCCAAAATTGCAAGTCGCATCAACCTAAATTTAAAGCGTACAAATTTTTTTTTTTAACATGATAAGTTTTAAGCAAGTTTGGTCCCCAATATGAAGAACGGGTCACAAAACACAAAATAAACTAATTATAGCATTAACTATTGTGACCACCCAAAAAATAGTACCTCTACATTCATTAGTTGGTCAGCAGTAAAACGAATGGTTTCGTAATAATGATTAAAATACAAACCAATGTGGACAATTGAAACATTATTGCACAAAGCTGACACTTTGGCCCTTTTATCCCAAAAACTAAAAAATTGACTTCTAAGAGAGTGACGAATGAGTCAATGCTCATTTTTTTTTTCATTTCATCTGCTGGTACATTTTGCATTCACGTACAAAAATCACTGCTGATTTCCAGACTGCTGTATTTTTGATAGATGGAATCAAACTGTCTTCTTTTTATAAGTGTGCCCATAAAAAGAGGCTGGCCTATGAAATTTAAGCTCTGCCGTTGTGACTGCTTCCGACTGCATTGGATGCACGAATAAAACCTGCAGCCGGGTTGTCATAAAATTTAAGAACACAGGGAGTATGTGTATATCAATAAAGATTTTATGGAAATATGGATTCAGCTGACCGAAGTTGTCGAAAAACTGTTTCATATATCAAACTCGGAAAGTTTCTTCCAGACTTCGTTTTTGCCAACAAAAAGCAAAAATTAGAAAATCATTTGAGTTTAAATTTGTTCAGATACTTAATTTTAAAGACAGTTTCAATTTTTATTTGTTTTGTCACTTTTTGTTATGATTTTAATTTACCAAGTTCAAAGGATTTCGACAAAAAAGTCTGGGAGTTTGATAGTTTTTGAAAACATTGTAGAGCGTACTTTTTGAAAACTTATTTTAATCCCTAATTGTTTCAGATTTTGATTTTTATTTTTCAAGAATTCTCCAGTATTCTTTTTATCATAGGAGATCAAAATGCTAGATTTTGTGCACCTAATGTTTTGAAAAATTTGCTAATTCATTTTTAAAATCGATTTCAAGTGAGCAATTGAATTGAAATTTTTGAACTTGTTGCATTAAAAAAAGGGGCTGAAGCAACGCAATTCAATAATGTGTTAGCATATAATGTGTTTACATCAATTGTTGATATCATTATGCACCAAGTTTGAACAAATACAGTTAAAAAATGAAACTTTTGAGGAAAGTCTTTCAAATAATGTTGAAAACAGCAACTTGAAACTTATTTAGTCTCAAGAGCTAAATTTGAAAAAATTTATAAAGATAAAACGTAGTTTTTATTCCCTATTTGTTCCGTCCACTTGAAAGAGTGGGAAAAAATATGGGCTAGGTTGAATATTTTACTTTGATTTCAGGTACCCGAAATAGAAATTGTAGGGGGTCAACTGTAGTACCATTATAATGCCCTCATAAAAGTGATTTTGATTGCAAAAGTTTTCAAAATTTTTTTTTGTTTAGTTTAACAGTTTTTTTATGGGCGAGAAAATGATTTCCGACTTTTATTACACTACTAAGTTTACCCTATTTTGGCTGAATTTTCTTAGCTTTACTGCTTATTACTGAATTCAAATTCCTCCTAAACATAAGAAAACATCGTGAAGTTTGGAAGATAAAAAAAACTTTAAGCATTTTGAGTTTAGGTGGTATTTGTTAAACTCATAGAGTAATTTCGGATAGGGTACACCGTCTGCTCGTCACGCTATCTTAT